AGGATTTAGTTTTTGCCAGTTTCTTTTCAATAGAATGTAGCCAATTTGGCTGATTTATAAACCTATTATATGTTTGTTATCTGTCAGTCTAGTGCTTTGATCTTTTAGCTCCACGGCTTTCTGTAGTTTGAGGTGGAGCCTTTCTGTTCTTGTTCTTGTTTTTCACATTGTGTGTTTCATAGTAATGCACGCCAACTTTCTTTCCCTTCTTGGCACGTTCCAGCGCTCTTCTCTGTAAACATGGAAAAAAAATGTAAAAAAAATGGCATCAGAAAAATTAAACCCACCATGCAAAAATATTAATCATCACTTTGTCACATGAGTAAATTTCAAGGTAGTTTATTGGAACAAAGTGTAATGAAATAGATTTTCAATAATTGTAGCATGCAACAATGCGTCCTTTCAATGTATATAAAGCTAAAAACAAGTATCACCAAATATACTAGAGTCAGAGAGCTGGACTGTTTATACTGTTTAATCACTAAACTAATAAAAAGGTGCAAAAGTTTGTGGTTATGATTTAAAATCTGAAACCGTTTATGTGGCACAAATCATTTAGAAAATAACCTTTTTTTTACATTAGCAAACAAAACCTACTGACCTGTTTAGATGTAAGCCTGTGCTGCTGCAAGGACTCAACATCCTCCTCTATTTTTCTCTTCTTGGTCGCCTGGGTTGTAGCTGAAAAAATGAAATTATAGACAAAAAACAAGGAAAAAAAGAAAACAGCTGTTAGTGCATAAATGTCAACTGACCCAGCCAAAGGGTTGCACTGTTCAGAAATGTTGGACTTCCACCACAGAGCGTTAAATGGGCGTACCTGTTACCAGAGTCTCTCCCTTCTGGGTTTGTTTAGCTGCTGCTTCCTGTTTGGTCTTCATGCCTGAAAGCACTTTGTCAGAAAGGGCCTTTGGTATTCTGTCCAAACAGATGGAGAAAGAGCAAACTGTGAAGTTTTCCAAGCAAAGCCAGCTGTTTATTTCTTCTGGGATTTGCAGACATGAACTAAACTGGACCAAGATTAACTAAATAGTTGGTATTAAAATCGTGATTTAGTCTATGGGCTTTAAATGATTGTTGCCAAAGATCAGTTTGAATGAATGATATGCCTTTCTTCTCTTTGCCTGCATCTTATTACTGAATAAAAACTAAGGCTACAGTTCAAGACAAAGAAAACATGTAGTAAGAAACTTGGACATCAGAACCTACCGGATGGCTGAGAAGCGCTTGGATTTGGCTCGGTCCAGGAACTGCTTGTACTTGGCTATTTTCTCATCATGCTCACGGATTACCTCCCGTAAACTCTTTTTGCCTTTCGTAGAGTCAGTCTGACACGATGTGTCCTCAGAGACCTCAGCGTCTCCTTCAGCTGGGTCTACGCTGGGCTCATCTTCCTCCTCATCTTCATCAACATCCTCCTCAGCGTCAGAGCCAGAAAAGTCAGACAAGTCTAAGTCTGGCATTTCCACCGGGATTAAATCTTCCTCAGTGAACTCTGGTGCCACGTTGATCTTGCCGAAGTTCTGTCGGACATTAGCCAGTATCTTCTGGACCTGCTCCTTCTGCCGCTGCTGCTCCTGTTCCCCTGAGATGACGTCCTGGTTCTCCAGCTGCTCCTCCTGAACCTTCTCCTCTGCAGCTGGTGGTTCTTCAATGGGCAATGTTTTTTCATCCTACAGCAGTTACAGTAATTCAGTAATGCGCATGAAAAGAACAGAGCAGTGATGGAGAAGTGAAGCATTTAGCTAAGTCTTACATCTGGATCTCCCTCAGGTCCAGGAGGCTTCACAAAGAAAGGGATCCGTCCTCTCTGCCAGTCATTCAACACCATTTTAGAGACCGTACTGAGATCAGGCTCACCTCCCTGTAAACGCAGATAAATCAAACTGTTTACATTTAATCTTTTGGAACCTGACAGCATTTTATCATTATTGATAAAAATTATTGATCAATATCACCGCAAAAAATTTAAGTAGCCTCGGGTAAAATTGTAATAGAAATGATGGGATGACCTTCAGAAGCTTCCCAGTACGAAAGGCCAGCTTCTCTAGGAAGTCTTCAGGTGAAGTCCATGTTGGAATACGGTACGTCTTCTGGATGTATTCAGGTTTGGCTCGCTCCAGTACCGCACCAATATGCTCTTCTGGGTTTTTTATCTTCTCCACTTGAACCTTATCAAGGAAGAAGAAATGCAATATATGAACTTAAAACCTTTGATGATGGAGGTTATGCTAATTACAATGCTAAACCTCCCAAACAGCAAACATTTACCTTTCAAAAAAATTCTTAAACTTAGTGTTTGAATTTCTTATACATTTCCCAGCGAAGGAAATTCCTCTTGTTTGGAAATTATCTGTATGCTTAACCAACCCTAAAACAAAACCTCAATGAGGTTTACATTCTTTAAAAAAGGCAGTTCTGGATTAACCCTGCTTTGGTTAAGATAATATGAAAACAGACAAACACACACAAAAAAAACCCCAACTAAAAACAGAGATCACCGTTTTCACCATCCTGACTGCTAAAAGCCAAAATGGCCAATACTCAAAACCTGATACTTTTGAAAAAGGGAATGCACAAAAATAAGGGTTACCAGATTGCAAATGCAGCAACATTTAGTGATAAAGATACTGAGTTTGAAAAACAAAACAAAAATTAACATCAGTTTTATTCTGTGAGAAATATCCTTGAAATAAAGCCCAAAAGAGCAGATGTATATATTGAGCTACTAGGAAGAAATATAACAATGTATAGAAATGACTGTAGTTTATTTCAGTTGACAGAGCCGCACTTGAAGTTGCTCTGTTCCCTGAGCTGCCATGGATCCTGTTATGGTCCATGCAGGTTTTAAAATATTTTACTGGAAGTCCTCAAGTTAAGGTTTTCATCTCCTGAGACTGCCATCTAGGCTTGGAATACTTATAATGATTATAATGTTTGATTTGTTTTGCATGTTGAATTTTTAAGGTCTCAAATTTCTAAACAAGAATTACATGCCTCAGTAATGCTAATGTCAACCACCACTCTGCTACAATTGGAGATTAAGAGCTTTGAAAATGTTGCCTTTCTAAATCATTTTATATGGAAACATTTATGACACTCCATGGGTTCCATTGTAGGTGTCCCTCAAAGCTGATGCAATTCATTCAGCTCACCACTAGATGGTGTTAAAAATCTTACACACCCACGCTTTAAGAAAGGTCAAGAGGCTAAAGAGGAGCAGTGAACATTTTGAAATGTCATATCGTTATGCACCTGTGGATCAAAACTGAAATAACCAGGCACAGCTATTCAAGGAAATCATCAAAATATGCCAATTAGAAACAAGAAGCTCTTTTTATTATATTTTTTCAAAGCACAGATTTTGTATTTAACATTAACATCATAAAAACAAGGGTAACTTCCCAGAACCTGAACATTTTCAACTCAATTTACTTCTGTTGGTAACGGTTTAAGGCATTGTAGTAGCCAAGTATGAACCTGGAAGACTACTGTAGATTAACCCTTGATTGGCACAGTTTTTTTTTGTTTTTTTTTTATATAATTTTTATTTTTTTTCCCCAGTGCAAAAAAATGAACCAGGGGGAGTGGTAGCCTAGTGATTGGGGCATTGCACTTGGAATCCAGAGGTTCTGAGTCCCAGCCCCACTCCCACAGACTGCCACTCTGGGTCCCTGAGCAAAGACCCTCAACCCCGCACGATGGCAGCCCACTGCACCCTAGGGGGGATGGGTTAAATGCAGAGAGTGGATTTGTTGCTCTGTAGTTGTGACAGTATAATGACAATAAAACACTGAAAAAAAACAAAAAAATAAATGAATGGACAAAGAGAAAAACGTACCACTCCCTTGAGGACAATATCAGACTCACTGTCCTCTGATGGGTAAACAACACCGGGGCAGTCTATGAGGAAGATGCGTCTCATGAGTGTGATGTACTGCCACACCTAGGAGAGGGATGCCAGCCATTAGCAGTAGTAAGCAGTTACAGGTCGGTGCTTTAATTAGCTTTTAGCATCAGTACATACTGGCTGCCACTATCAGAACTTTGATTCATGAACAGAACAAAGCTCACAGCATAAAGGTTAATACCTCTGCTTTTACAGATATTTATATTTACAGAGCCTTGAGGACTTATATCCTGCTAAGATCTTCCTATGTAAATTCTAATAATAAAATCTACTTTTTTGTATAGACTTTCAACATGAGAAAAAAAAAAATCAACCTAACCTTTGTTTCTCCAGCAATGGGTGCCACGTTGCAGACCTTCTTGGATCGCAGAGTGTTTATAACTGAACTCTTTCCAACATTTGGATAACCGATGAAACCCACACTTATTTGCTTCTTGTCTTTGTGGAGCTGTACATGAAGAAAAAAAAGAAATAAAGCTCAGCCTGCTGGGATACAATTTAAAAAAAAGAACACTTTAATTAAATATAGTAAAAAAAATTGATGTTTTTTTTGTTTCAAAGCATAAATCCAGGGTTATCACAAGTACAAAGAACAAATGGAGCTTGAAAATTGTTTCTAAAGGCCAGTTTTCTGGACCTAAAATCTCTGGACAAAAAAGCAGCTCATAATTTTAAACATTCCACTTCATCGATCAAGCATGTTGGAAGCAAAATAAAGGCATGGACTGGTATAAAGCCCAACGAATAGTGAGTTTATGATATTTCTCAATGTTTTTCATAACTACTTGAAGAAAAAAAAGGAAAATAAAAAAAAAACAGCACCAGCAAACTACAGATAACAGGAATATCAGTTTTTATATATTAGATGGTCAAAGAAAGCTAAAAGTGTTCCTGATTTCCTTCATATAAACAAAAAAGAAGTACTTTTGATGTGAGGTTAGGAACATGTTAGAATGAGTTAAGCTTTCTGTGGTTTTCCACACCTATAGTGCTCCCCTACAACAAGTCAGCTGATCCAAAAAGAGACTACTATATTTTTCCCTACAGAAAAAAGCTCAAATGTGGCCCTTTGGAAATATCCATGCTCACAAAATAAAAAATAACAAAGAAAATTAGAATAAAACTACTGCAGTGGGAAGAAAAGAACCGATCTGAGGCATCTTGTTCTTATCGTAGCACTCGCTTGCTAAAAAGCCTTCCTAAAAACCTGGAGGCAGCTGAGATTATTAACCTAAAATAATCATTTTGGATGCCTCTTGCCCGTGGACAGCTGGAGATGGGCACCGGCACCCCTCGCGACCCCACTTGGGATTAAGCGTGTCAGACATGAAATCATTTTGGATATTCTTCTTTAATTTGATATATTATATTAATTATTCTATTTAGTTGTAATGCTGGAATTAAAATTCTCAGACCAGCATAGATTTAAAATATAGATTTTGATTTAATTTCACATTTCTATTTAGCCTCCATGCTCTACAAGATAAGGGTTTCCATCTGATGGAATCAGCTCACCTTCCCAAACTGCCTGAGGAGCTGGATGAGAGAGCCTTTACCAAACGAGTTGGTCAGGCTGGCATGGAAAGCCAGAGTCGGATACTCTTGTGACAAAACAGCAACCCACCGTTTCTGATTTGAGGGAAAATTGAGACATAATTAAAAAATAAAAGAAGTATGCATTACAGGCACAGCAACACAGCAAAGCAAAGATGAAACATGCTAGAAATATCTCACCGTAACCCAAGTAGGGATGAGGTCACATTTGTTCAATACAAATATGAGATGTTTCCAAGGCTTCTCTTTTTTCAGGTATGTCTCGATGCTCTTGGAGCGGGTTCCTATCGGATCACGGGCGTCCAGCACTTGGATGATGACATCAGACGAGTCAATCACCTTTAAAACAAGATTGAGCACACGGTTTGTTGCACCAAAGACAGAATGGGCCCTAAACTACTGGCTGTGAAGTTCTAACCTAAATAGTGAACTATCACACTGAAACGGCCTATCCAGAAAAGAACCTCAGCTAAATAATCAGGACTGCAAGTGGGACATGATGCTTCTAGAGCACGGAGAAAAATAAAAAATAAATGACTAGTTTACCTGCCAAACTAACTGATACTCTATGCTTTCTGCAACCTTTCTTCATCCGTTTAAGGCTCAGACAACAAAATATGCTCCTGATATGAATCAATGAGCCTTTTATTGGTTTGGCTTGCAGCAGTAAAGCACTGAAACATCAGGGTCTAGGTTTTTTTAGAGAACCAATCCCTTGTTCACTGCAAGAGCTAATAACCTTTGCTTTTATCAAATATTTGGAGAAAGCACTGGTGCGGTTGTTTCGATCAGCTGAAGCTGGCTGAACGACTCTAATGCCAGTCCTGTGTCTGTTAGAAAAGTTCATCCACTTTCTAGTGTGCTACTGTAACATCAGGCTTATATTCCAAACCAAACCCATTTATAATTATTTAGACAACAGAGGATGTTATCATAGCCTAAAAACCATGCAAACATTAGATACAACAACCTACATGTTCTTTCCCCAGCATTATTCTTTTCAAAAAATGATTGTTGATATTTTTTCTTTGTCAAGAAACATTTAAATGTGTAAATTCTGTTTTAGCACAGAAAAAAAAAGTACAAGTGAGCCAAAATTTTAAAGAAGTTAAGGACAATCAAACAGAAACCAATGTTTGTTTTTATACAAGGTAACACCAATAAGACAGCAGCAGTTCAACTGTATGGTAACTATTTTCTCAATTTGAGAATCCCTTGAATTGACTGGGACCGGTCAGATCTGCTGTCACTGTTTCCCACCACGACTCAAACCAGGAAGCTACAAATGTTTGAAAAAACACTTTAAATCTCTTACCTTGTAAAGTTCTCCCCAGATCCTCTTTGACTGGCCCTTTTTGAAAATCTCTTCACGCACTTCCTCCCTGTTTAGAAAAAAATACATAAAAATGTAATTATCAATAACCATATCATACCATAAAAAACAACAACAAAAAAACATTTTGCAATTAGAACAAGTGAACCTCTTACCGGACGCCTGTGTCCTCCATCACCAGGTTGCTATCCTTCTCTGCGTCATAGTTCAGGACCGAAGCCTCTGCTCTCTCTAGGAGGTCCTTCACATCTCCAACCATCAGACTGGGCCGCTTCCTCTGAGCCTTCGGTCCAAATGTGGTCTCAAAACCCTCAGTGTCTAGAATGTGCACCTTAGAGTTCTGCAACAACATAGAAAAATTATTTAAGAGCACTAGAAGTATTCAAGAACACTGAATTAGAACCAAGAATGATCTACAACAGATTTTGAATCCAGAAACCACATTTTGTTTTTTTGTTGTTTTTTGAAACGACCCAACCAGCCTATGAGAATTTTCTTAGAAGTAAATAATTCTTCAGTTCCACAAAATATATAGCTAAAAAGTCAATATAAAAGAGTTGCTCATATATCTAAAGGTACGTTGTAGGGGCACGCAGGTGGCGCAGTGGTTAGTGTGCACAACTCATGTATGGAGGCCTTAGTCGTCGATGCAGCCAACCTGGGTTTCGAGTCCGGCCTGTGGTCCTTTCTCGCATGTCTGTCCCCCTCTCTCACACCCCCTTTCCTGTCAGCCTACTGTGAGAGAAAGTTCCACTAGTGCCGTAAAACCTCAAAAAAAAATTTATGGTCATGCATAAATAAAATGCATGCCATATTTTTGAGTTAAATTTAAAGTGAATTAGGGCCGAAACAATTAATTATGTATGTAATTCCCATTTACCGTATTTTCACGACTATAAGGCGCACTTAAACGTCTTTTTTTCCCCTCAAAATGT